TAGATGGAAATCTTATAATGAAGGTTTCTGAAAGAGTCTTTCCTAGACAAGGAAAATTTCAATATAAGAATGTCATAGTAACAGAAAAACTGATTTTACAAATATCGATGATCTTAACAAGAGTAGTTTTGTTGTGAAAGTCTCAGATCTTTTGATTCGGTTCTATCTTGAAATTCGAATATTAAATCATCTAGTTTACGTGAGGGATCTGCAAGACACACTATCAATTCGAAATTTGAAAATCATTTTTTCTGTTAACACAACATTCATTTAAAAATATTCTTTTAATTTAGTTTTTATTAAATCTTCAAATGTTTCTTCACAAGTATCATTAAATAATTCTTTAACTTATATTCATACAATAAGTATTCGACAATCGATAATTTATTTTATTTGGTTCACGTTATGCATCAAGCATAAATAGTGATCAATCCATAGAAAATAGTGCAATACGAGAGTAAAATAAACAAAAAAAACGAATTTGATTTATTCTGTCTGTTTTTTGTTTTCTATTTTAGTTTTAATTGAACTAAAAAATTAGTCTTAGAAAATATATTAATACAAATGAAAGTGATTTTCAAGCTGCTGTACTCGATTTACTTGTTCAATTACTTTTAATTCGTGTTAATAATAGTTAATTAGAAGCTGATGAAATTCGTTGCATTTCTAACCGTTTCGTTTATTTTTAAATAGCATTTTATTTATTGTATTGCTGAATTTCTTGTTATGTTATCACATGATACACTTCATTCAAAACAAGTTATTAAAATACAAGATCTAATAAAACATTATGATTCATTATTAGCAAGTGGACATGAACCTGAAACACATAGTAGGAAGCAAAAAAAAACATTTTCGAGAAAAAGAAATGATCGTTAAAATTCTTTATTTAGCTTTGGCAGCATTAAAACTAGTTTTATATGATTTTTTTCTTGTTCGAGTTATGCGAATAATTAAAATTCCTAAAAAGTTTTATTAAATGATAGTGAGCAAAAAGTGTCCCTCTATAAGGTCTCAAATATCTTAGAAACTCGAGAAGTTGTGAGTGTGGGTGTGTATATGTAATTTTTCTCCTCGATTGAACCCACACCCACCCTTCAACGAATCGATGATCTGAAAATAATCATCTTGTTGTTATGTATTTAAGTTTGAAGGAAAACTAGGCGTCTTAATTATTATAAGTAAAAGTATCTTTTCATATCATGTGTATTTACTGAAAAAATAATAATAGAATTTATACTGTTATAGGATTTACGATTGTTCACAGTTATTATTAATAGTGTTCAAATTGAAGATGATAAATGGGAACGTCTTTCACGGCAAATTGTCGATTTACTTCTTGCTCATTTACAATCTCAGGCTATTTTTTTTGTTCAAATAGGATCAATCACTTTTGGATATTTATTCCACACAATTAACACTATTTGATGTTGTCTCATCAGTTGCATTACGATCAATTGATCCATTTGTTATTGCTTTTCGAGCATTAGTAAATAGAAATGTTCGTTGTTTTTATTTATAAAATTTTCCTGTAGTTTAAAATTTTTTTTAGAATGTCAATTGTCAATCTACAAATCGATAATTAATCAATATAAATATAATACTTCGATGTTTTGTACAAAATTTAACTAAAGATGCTATATTAACACGATAGAATGATGTTTTATTATCAGTTAATGGAACACAAGATGAAACTTTTAGTGCGTAAGTATTCGAAATGATTTTATTTATAATTTAACAAGTATTATTCTCGTTTTTGTTTTCAGAGCTTTTCTTCGAATTGTACATGACGTAATATTACGAATTTTAACTAATACTTGACAATTATGTGGTCAAATCAATATGACATTAGGTTCTCTTGCATCCGATTATCTTTATGTACATATCACCCATTAATTTGAAGATAAAACTTTCCTGCAATTCATTAATTACTAATGACCTAGCGAAAAACATTTGACTGTAAAATTCCTATGCTTATATAAGATCTATGATTTTATTTTAGTTAAACAATTTCGAACAATTGTAAATGATTTTCATCAATTATGAATTCATGATGAAACTCTACATTGTCTTGAGACATTTTCATATTTAACTATTTTAAATGAATGTTTTAAATTATTATGATCATCATTTTATATCTCATTATTATTACAATGGATACATATTCTGAATATGCTTGATTATACACAAGAAGCATGCTGGTCACCAATATTAACACCATCATCATTAATAACACATTTATCTATAAGTAGTAAATTACAATCTTATTGTGATTTAATATATCATCATGAATTATATGTTGAACATTTTACATCAATAACAACACATTATCAATTATTATTATTATTTTTTATTTTATCTTATACATCATACATCAGTTGCAAGTCATTTATTTTTTTTGTGAAGGAATACATTTAGATGAAAGTGGTCTTATATTAGTTTTATTAATTGAACAATTTCTTCCATTACCATTAAATAAACAATTATGACCTAAATATATACCATAAATTTTATAAATATTATCAATAACAATATCAATCGATATTATTAAAGAAGATTTTAATAATCTTAATTGTCCTATGGATATAACAAGAAAAATTTATGAACAAATGCTTAAAAATATAACTTATAAAGAATGATTACCATTTATGATGTCACCGGTATATTTTAGTTTAATTTATCGAAATAAATAAATATATTTGTATAATAAAAATTTTAATCCAATGAAAAGAAATGTTTTTTGTTACTTTGACATTGTTTATGTGCTAGTAATAGATGAGACTTTTGAATAATTCAAAACTTCGAAAAATATTTTGAAATAGAAAATATGCAGAATTTCAGGTAATACAAATCGTAAAGGAAAGCATTTAAGCTACATTAGTACAATGATCGAATAATTCCTCTCGAATCT